AAATTCGGTCAGTACTGGCACCTGAACATACTTCTGGAGAGAAAAAATATCGTTAACCGGGGGTCCACTGTAGGTGGTAAGTTACTAAATGCTGTAAAGAGTTTTTTGAGGACAGTGAGGCTCAGGTTAGGGTGTGTAGAAGAGAGGGAGACTCTTAGGTCTTAGACAGGGATGTGTAATGTCACCATGGTTGTTTAATATATTTATAGATGGGGTTGTAAAACAAGTAAATGCTAGGGTGTTCAGGGGAGGGGTGGGATTAAATTATGGGGAATTAAATACAAAATGGGAATTGACACAGTTGCTTTTTGCTGATGATGCTGTGCTTATGGGAGATTCTAAAGAAAAATTGCAAAGGTTAGTGGATGAGTTTGGGAATGTGTGTAAAGGTAGAAAGTTGAAAGTGAGCATAGAAAAGAGTAAGGTGATGAGGGTATCAAATGATTTAGATAAGGAAAAATTGGATATCAAATTGGGGAGGAGGAGTATGGAGGAAGTGAATGTTTTCAGATACTTGGGAGTTGACGTGTCGGCAGATGGATTTATGAAGGATGGGGTTAATCATAGAATTGATGAGGGAAAAAAGGTGAGTGGTGCATTGAGGTATATGTGGAGACAAAAAACATTATCTATGGAGGCAAAGAAGGGAATGTATGAAAGTATAGAAGTACCAACACTCTTATATCGGTGTGAAGCTTGGGTTGTGAATGCAGCAGCGAGGAGGCGATTGGAGGCAGTGGAGATGTCCTGTCTAATGGCAATGTGGTGTAAATATTACGCAGAAAATTCGGAGTGTGGAAATTAGGAGAAGGTGTGGAGTTAATAAAAGTATTAGTCAGAGGGCTGAAGAGGGGTTGTTGAGGTGGTTTGATCATTTAGAGAAAATGGTTCAAAGTAGAATGACATGAAGAGCATTTAAATCTGTAGGAGAAGGAAGGCGGGGTAGGGGTCGTCCTCGAAAAGGTTGGAAGGAAGGGGTAAGGGAGATTTTGTGGGCGAGGGGCTTGGACTTCCAGCAGGCGTACATGAGCGTGTTCGATAGGAGTGAATGGAGACGAATGGTATTTGGGACCTGACGAGCTGTTGGAGTGTGAGCAGGGTAATATTTAGTGAAGGGATTCAGGGAAACCAGTTATTTTTATGTAGCCAGACTTGAGTCCTGGAAATGGGAAGTACAATGCTTGCACTCTGAAGGAGGGGTTCGGGATATTAGCAGTTTGGAGGGATATGTTGTGTATCTTTATACGTATATGCTTCTAAACTGTTGTGTTCTGAGCACCTCTGCAAAAACAGTGATTATGTGTGAGTGAGGTGAAAGTGTTGAATGATGATGAAAGTATTTTCTTTTTGGGGATTTTCTTTCTTTTTGGGTCCTCCTACCTTGGTGGGAGACTGCCGATTTGTTAACCCTTTGAGGGTTGACAGGCCCTCTCCAAGACTTGTTCTCAGGGTCGGCCAAATTTAAAAAAAAAAAATTTTTTTTTCTTATGAAAAGATAGAGAATCTTTTCCCAATCATAATGACACCAAAAGTATGAAATTTGATGGAAAACTTACGGAATTATGCTCTCGCAAAGTTAGCGGTCTCAGCGATGTGTATGCATCGGCGATTTTGCCCACTTGGAGCTCTATTTTTGGCCAATTCCAATGTACTAGTCAACAAAAATCATAACTATTTCACTAGAACTCTATTTTTTGTATCGAATGAGTACAAGAAACCACCCATTTACCGATTTAAGCTATCCAATAAAGTAGTCAGAATTTAGCAATTTTTCCAATTTCACACAAATTTCAAAAGATGCCAATTTCCGAATAGGGTCCAGAATAAACAAAAAAGACATTCCTGGCACTAAAATAACAAGTTCTCTGTTTGTTAGTCACATCCCCAGGCCCCTCTTATATTTCTTTGGCTTTCCACTTTCAATTTTTATTCTTACAAAAAATAGATTTACTGTTATGCAGACTACTGCATTAGTGTAGAAATGGTATAAATAATATCAGCTCACTTGTGAAAGAGTATAGACTCACCAGTTGACGTGTATTGGATGCTTGGCACTATTTGTTTACTTTTGAACTTTGGTAAAAATCGAACATTTCTGCTACTTTGAGCTCAATTTCAAGGTAGTTTTCATTGTAAAACCAGTCAAAATCATCTCAATTTCTGTAATATGTCTTCCATTCTATAAAATGAGACCAAGAAAACTAGAATACAACAATAAATACCATACGAAAATACAGTGCAAAGTCGCTGTTTTATTCCAAAAACACGGTCAAAGTTTTTTTTTCTCATTATGCACTGTGCTGCAGAATTTTTTTTATACTGCGCACACTGACCACATAGACCCATTCTTTCATATGTAGGCCTACTAGCTTTCTCCCACTAGATTTGAGGGCGCTAGAATTTAGGCGTACTAGTACGTCAAAAACCCCGGGTCGTAAGCCGTACTAGTACGGCCAAAACCCCCAAAGGGTTAAAAAAAAAAATGTAAAGGATGCATTCTGGGAGAAGCCTGTGGATAGCATTAGTATTGGTAAATGGGGAGTAGGAGATATGTTGCAGCCCTCTGTATCCGGACATTATACAGTAGTTGTGTCAAGTCTTTTGGGGCTTTGTCACCTGTCTAGACGCTTTTGTTGAGTGTGTAATTTAAACGAGTGTAGTACTGTACAGTATTCCTTTTTTTTTCCTTAGGGTGCATATAGTCAACCAAATACTCGTGTACATACGCCCAGGGGTAGATACTCCTCGCCACTCTCAAGATGTTGGAGAATCTGCTTCAAACATCATAAGTATTGGCTGTTTTCAGTCAAGTAGAGAGTACACAGTCTTTAAGTCTGCTATTTGGCCCTTTGATGGCAACATAATTGTCTTGCTTCATTACTTTTATGGCCAATAATACTGTATGTTTAGTGCCTCTCTTTGTTGGGCTGCAAAGTGGCTGGGGACAGAGTGAGTTTTTTTACATTTGTTCATGAATCCTTATGCTATTCTTGTTACTCAAAAGGCAGATGATCAGGTGTGGGATGCGGCCTACTGGGATACATACAACAGTTGGCTCTTGTTATTGTGCTGAACCCTGACATCTGCCTTTACTCTAATGCTTTTTTTTTTTTTCACACCCTTCCCAGCTCTTCACTTGAAAAGGTCTTCTCACTATACTTACCCTGCCTTTAAATTATTCCTTAGGCCAGCTTGACCTGGACAGATTTTTTACATTCAAGCTGACTGCTGCAAAGATGTGTTAAATGACAAGAAGCTTAACCTGGTACTCATCTGCTTAGTTTTTTAATATCTTCTTTCATGAATTGTGTGATGAAGGGCACATTACTGTATTCATATACAGGCTGTTAACAATTCTAATGTTGTCTCTACTATAATTTTGAAGATGACTGTGCAGAGGATGTATGCTGCAAACGTTGTTCATGTACCTGTCACAAAAGTTTACCAGCAGTATTAAGACCATATTATCTAGGTCAGTTGTTGGTTATGAAATTTGGTTGATTCTAGAGAGACTGACAATAATTTGTAGTTTTGTCATCTTGTGACATTGTAGGCCATCCACTAAGTGACCCGTTTGTATGTGATTCCATACCTGTTTGTACTTTGAGAAGTAGAGCTATGCTCATGGAGTCTCACCTTTAATGTTTAATTTATTTAGTTTGTTTTAATTTACAACACTTGCTACATCCTGTTTGATCCCATTCTAGTTTTCAAACCCACTATTTGCAGAGGAAGCATTGGTTTTGATAATGAACGAATTTCCTTCTTAGGGTCACCCTGCCGTTTTTTAAAACGGCTGATTTTTTTTTTATTTTCAAAATCATGTAAATGAAGGTAGTAGGTTGGTAGACAGCAACCACCTAGTGAGTGTAAAACGGAAGCCTGTAATTGTTTTACATGATAGGATTGCTGGTGTCTTTTTCTGTCTCATAAACATGCAAGATTTCAGGTATGTCCTGCTACTTTTACTTACACTTAGGTCACAGTACACATACACTTTTTTTTTTTTCAACAAGTCAGCCGTTTCCCACCGAGGCAGGGTGACCCAAAAAGAAAGAAAATCCCCAAAAAGAAAATACTTTCATCATCATTCAACACTTTCACCTCACTCACACATAATCACTGTTTTTGCAAAGGTGCCCAGAATACAACAGTACAAGCATATATATACACACCCCTCTGGGCTTTCTTTTTTTTTCTTTCTAGTTCTTGTTTATGTCCTCTTACCTCCATGGGGAAGTGGAGCAGAATTCTTCCTCCATAAGCCGTGCGTGTTGTAGGAGGCGACTAAAATACCAGGAGCAAGGAGCTAGTAACCCCTTCTCCTGTATACGTTACTAAATGTAAAAGGAGAAACTTTCGTTTTTCCTTTTGGGCCACCCCGCCTCGGTGGGATACGGCTGGTGTGTTGAAAGAAGAAAGAATATACACACACACACCCCTCTGGGTTTTCTTCTGGTTTCTTACAGGTTCTTGTTTATTTCCTCTTATCTCCATGGGGAGGTGGAACAAAATTCTTCCTCTAAGCCATGCGTGTCATAAGAAGCGACACACATGCTGGGAGCAAGAAGCTAGTATCCCCTTTTCCTGTATGTTACAAAAGTTGAAAAGAGAAACTTTTGTTTTTCTTTTTGGTCCACCCTGCTTCAGTGAGATACAGCCAGTGCATTGAAAGAAAGAACATAAAAACATAAATAAAATATTCTGGTAACAAACTGTACCACAGCAGGGATTTTTACCAATTCTGTACATTAATTTCATTTGTTTTCAGGCAGAATAAAAACACAATTGAAACTTGCAGGAGGATGTAAGGAAATTTGGAACAGGCTGAAAGGATTCATTTTGTTAGACATCCTTAGAGGCTTTTCTGCTGTTACTCTTCCATTCAGAGGAAGTTATAATAGAGAATTATGCAACCTAAATATAAAATATTTTTCATTATCTAAGCAACTATATTGAAATGATTAATATTAAGTACAGTACTTTAAACTTTTTACCAGGTTCCTGGGTTAACCTATACTGGTGAGGAAGACATGCTGGCTCAGTTCCGTGTGAAGTACTTGCAGCAGTTGGGAGAATTCCGACAGTTGAGCTTTATCCCTGCTGACACATTGCAGAGAACCCTCCCTAGAGCAAAGCCACGAGGACGTAAGAGTCTGGATAGTGCTTCACTCAAGAAAGAGGCTCCTGAAGTAAGTTGATATCTGTTTAGAGTGTAATAACAATGGCAATAATAGGAAAAAGCCTTCAAGGGGGAGGTTGCTTGATGCTGGTAAAGGATTCTTCATCCAATAAATTGGAGTTACATTCATATTTTTCTAATCAAACCCAATTACGGCTTATTCCCCTGGTGCTGTTTGACTTGCAGTTTCAGCACTTGCCCATGAATATAACAATGATGTTTTATCACATTTACCTTTTCATGCTTTCAGATGTGGATTGCATAATTTTTTTATTTTTTTAACACACAGTCCATCTCCCACCAAGGGAGTGTGACAACTCCCCCCCCCCCTCCCTGCACGTGCGCTCACAAAAAAAATCGTCATTATTCACACTATCACTGTCTTTGCAGAGTCTTGCATGTGAGTTTAGATGTCACTGTATAGAGCAAATATCCCAAACCTCTCCTTTAAAGTGCAGGCACTGTACTCCCCACCTTCAGGACTCAAGTCTGGCTAACCAGTTTCCCTGAATCCCTTCACAAAATATTACCCTGCTCACACTCCAACAGCTCATCAAGTCCCAAAAACCATTTGTCTCCATTCACTTCTATCTAACAAACTCACATGTGCCTGCTGTATGTCCAGACCCCTTGCACACAAAACCTTTTTTACCCCTCCCTCCGTCTTTTCCTAGGACATCCCCTACCCCTCCCCTCCACTACAGATTTATACACCCTCCAAGTCATCCTAGTTTGTTTCATCCTCTCTAAATGACCAAACCACATCAACAACCCATTCATTTACCTGTGCTTGGGTGAATTTGTTCCTTGATTTCGAGCACTCCAGAAGTCACTTGAGTCAACATTCAGTGTTATCGAAGTGCTTAGCTTTAATTAGACAGTCTGAGTCCCAACTCCTTATTTGTGACTTCATAATCCAAGTAATTAAGACCTTAAACTGTTGCCTAAATTACTTGCTAAAGTATTCTGCACAAAATTTTTTTATGCAAAGAATCATTTCAAATATATAGCACGTAATAAAATTTATAGTTTTTGGGGATGAATAATTTTTTTCTCCTTGTTTTTATAATTTTTTTTAAAGTTTCTTTTATTGTGATGCAAAAGAATCTCTCTCTATTTCAGTCAGTGAAGAAAAAGGTCCTAGGTAGCTACCCTGCAGAAATAATATATGTGGTAACTGAGGTTCATACTCCATCAGAGGTTATGGGGTTTTCTCGTATCCTGGGGACCTGTTTCCCCCTTAAAAATAAAAATCCTCTTGGTCGTGGACCGCTGGTTTGGGGGATGATGGAGGTTGGTGATTACTTTTTATCTAGGTTGCATTTACATCTAGTCATATTTTTTGAGAAAACCGTTTTTAAATAATGGTACTCGCCTCCCCGAGGCAGGTAACCTAAAAAAAAAAAAACGAAAGTTTTTTTTTTTTAAATTTTTGTAATTATGCAGAGAAAAGGTTACTAACCCCCTTGCTCCCGGCATTTTAGCTGCCCCTTACGAATGCATGGTTTACGGGGGAAGAATTCTCTTCCCCTTTCCCTGGAGATAAATAAAAAAGAAGAATAAACTAAAAAAAATAGAAGAAAACCCCGTGGGTAAGTAAGTATATATGTGTGAATGGAGTGGACCTAATGTAGTAGAAGTACAAGTTACCCTTTTTTCTTTACATTTTGAAGCGAAAAGACCCAGCAATCCTTCTGTCATGTAAACAATTATAGGTTTCCATTTTACACTTTTTACTGAATATTAATACCAGATATGCTGCATGTTATTTTGCTTATTTTTTTTTTTAAATTAATTGTTTTTCATTCTAATTTGGAGTATAACTGAAGAATTCTGAAAAATTGCAGACTTTTTTTTTTTAATATTTAATTGTTGATTCACTTGTTATTTGTAAAGCTCTTGATGAGATATTAGTAAAAGTTAAACTTTATATATACTAGAAACTCTTCTTGATTTGAGGAATGTCTTGTGAATTGGATAAAATTCTGCTTTTTTATGTTCTAGTGACACAAGAATGACACCCTTTTTATACTCTCCTCTCACCTTTGAATAGAACCTAAAAAAATTATCTTTTAGAACCACTGCATCATTCACCATTATCATACTAATATTACAGCCCATTAATTCTTTCATTAAGCTGTTAGGACTCCTCTCTTTGAACACATTGCACTACCCACTCTTTCCACATTATATTTAGGACAACTTGTTTCGTATTTCTGCCAGGCATTGCACTATTACGTCCAGCGGCGGCTCGTAGCTAAAATTAGTGGATGTGCTGCTTCAGAAAATTTTTAGCCATTGTTTTAATATTGTGTAAAATAAAAGAACTAAAAAAACTATGAATTAAATAAAATAGCTAGAAACATGATAATCATCTAATTTCACACTATCACATTCAAAAATATAGTACATGGTTTTTAAGCACAACAAATTTTGTTGAAAATAAGAAAAAGTTTTGGAGTGAGATTAACAAGTTAAGAAAGCCTAGAGAACAAATGGATTTGTCAGTTAAAAATAGGAGAGGAGAGTTATTAAATGGAGAGTTAGAGGTATTGGGAAGATGGAGGGAATATTTTGAGGAATTGTTAAATGTTGATGAAGATAGGGAAGCTGTGATTTCGTGTATAGGGCAAGGAGGAATAACATCTTGTAGGAGTGAGGAAGAGCCAGTTGTGAGTGTGGGGGAAGTTCGTGAGGCAGTAGGTAAAATGAAAGGGGGTAAGGCAGCCGGGATTGATGGATAAAGATAGAAATGTTAAAAGCAGGTGGGGATATAGTTTTGGAGTGGTTGGTGCAATTATTTAATAAATGAAATGGAAAGAGGGTAAGGTACCTAGGGATTGGCAGAGAGCAGCATAGTTCCTTTGTATAAAGGCAAAGGGGATAAAAGAGAGTGCAAAATTATAGGGGGATAAGTCTGTTGAGTGTACCGGGTAAAGTGTATGGTAGAGTTATAATTGAAAGAATTAAGAGTAAGACGGAGAATAGGATAGCAGATGAACAAGGAGGCTTTAGGAAAGGTAGGGGTGTGTGGACCAGGTGTTTACAGGAAACATAAAAGTGAACAGTATTTAGATAAGGCTAAAGAGGTCTTTGTGGCATTTATGGTTTTGGGAAAAGGCGTATGACAGGGTGGATAGGGGGCAATGTGGCAGATGTTGCAAGTGTGATGGTGTAGGAGGTAGGTTACTGAAAGCAGTGAAGATTTTTACGAGGATAGTGGGGCTCAAGTTAGAGTATGTAGGAAAGAGGGAAATTTTTTCCAGTAAAAGTAGGCCTTAGACAAGGATGTGTGATGTCACCGTGGTTGTTTAATATATTTATAGAGGGGGTTTGTGAGAGAAGTAAATGCGAGGGCCCTTGGCAAGAGGCGTGGAGTTAAAAGATAAAAAAATCACACACAAAGTGGGAGTTGTCACAGTGCTCTTGCTGATGACACGTGCTCTTGGGAGATTCTGAAGAGAAGCTGCAGAGATTGGGGGGATAAATTTTGGTAGGGTGTGCAAAAGAAGAAAATTAAAGGTGAATACAGGAAAGAGTAAGGTTATGAGGATAACAAAAAGATTAGGTGATGAAAGATTAAAATATCAATTGGAGGGAGAGAGTATGGAGGAGGTGAACGTATTCAGATATTTGGGAGTGGACGTGTCAGCGGATGGGTCTATGAAAGATGAGGTGAAACATAGAATTGATGAGGGAAAAAGAGTGAGTGGTGCACTTAGGAGTCTGTGGAGACAAAGAACTTTGTCCTGGAGGCAAAGAGGGGAATGTATGAGAGTATAGTTTTTACCCAACGCTCTTATATGGGTGTGAAGCGTGGGTGATGAATGTTGCAGCGAGGAGAAGGCTGGAGGCAGTGGAGATGTCATGTCTGAGGGCAATGTGTGGTGTGAATATAATGCAGAGAATTGTAGTTTGGAAGTTAGGAGGAGGTGCGGGATTACCAAAACTGTTGTCCAGAGGGCGAGGAAGGGTTTTGAGGTGGTTCGGACATGTAGAGAGAAAAGGAGCGAAACAGAATGACTCAAGAGTGTATCAGTCTGTAGTGGAAGGAAGGGGGGTAGGGGTCGGCCTCGGAAGGGTTGGAGGGAGGGGGTTTAAAAGGGGGTTTTGTGTGCGAGGGGGTTGGACTTCCAGCAGGCATGCTGTGAGCGTGTTTGATAGGAGTGAATGGGGACAATGGTTTTTAATACTTGATGTGCTGTTGGAGTGTGAGCAAAGTAACATTTATGAAGGGATTCAGGGAAACCGGCAGGCCGGACTTGAGTCCTGGAGATGGGAAGTACAGTGCCTGCACTCTGAAGGAGGGGTGTTAATGTTGCAGTTTAAAAACTGTAGTGTAAAGCACCCTTCTACAAGACAGTGATGGAGTGAATGATGGTGAAAGTTTTTCTTTTTCGGGCCACCCTGCCTTGGTGGGAATCGGCCAGTGTGATAATAAAAATAATTTAATGAAAATGCTTACCCAGACTTGAGTCCTGAAGGTGGGAAGGGCAGTGCCTGCATGCTTGAGGAGTGGGAATGTTGCTGTCAGAGAGTAATCTGCATTGTGATGTCAGGACACTTCTGGTAAGACAGTGATTTAATTAAAGATGGTGAATGCATTTCCCTTTTCAAGTCATCATACCTTGGTGGAAGATGGCCTTTAAGGTTAAAAAAAAAAAAAAAATCATAGAGCCAAGCAAGAAAATTTTTAAGTTTTACATAGAGAAAAGGGGAAATGAGTTGTTGGACTTTATATATGTAGGACTACATTTGTATAAGAAACTGCAGTTTTATTGTCGCAATAGTTTCTTAACATTTTAATACTACAGTACATGCCTGCAAAAAATGCACTAGCCTCACAACTTCTGTTTTGAACATTAAGAAAGTCTCTAACTTACTTGTTCTCTTAAGTAATTTTTAAAATTGTAAATTGCCAATAATTTTACATTCTAAAATTTAATATAATACTGCACATATTTCAATGATTTTTACAGAAAACAAAGGATTTGCAAGAGCAACATCATTAAAACCTCTTCAAGGTCAGAGTAGAATTGGTAATTCCATGGCTTTGCCGTCTGCTACCTCACATAGCACAACACCCTCCAGTCTACCTGCAGTTACTCTTGCACCTCGGCCATCTACCCTTCCACGTGCTGCTCCAACACCACCCATTCCAGAACGTCCACCTCGTTATGAAGATTTGTTTCCTGCCACATCTGGGGGCCCTGGAATTCCCTCACAAGTTACTGGTTACCCAGCAGTAGGACAACAGGTACCCCCACCTCGCTACACTCCAGGTTCTCTGAATCCTCCTCCTCTACCAGTTAAACCAGGTTTTCAGGAACAATCATCCAGCACCTTTTATTCTCAAATATCTGAAAGTGAATACTATAGCCCTCCTTTGGATACCCAACCATCCAATGAATATAACTCTCCCATCTCTGAAGAAGACAACAATATCTATGAAGAAATTGACCAGGTAAACCATGTCTTAGTTTGGTGTCTGTTGCTGTTTATCTGAGAGGTGAGGTGGTATGGGAATGGAAGGAAAGGACTTGTTAAAATCTTATTCCTTCAGGAATAAATCACAACAAAAGTCATCTCCTAACCTATGTACTGTAATGTGCTCTTCTGTCTTCTCTCTAGTTCCTCCTAAGATGCTAGTTTAAACTGCTTTTTTGTTTTCAATATTTTTCATATATTGTTAAATATGCATGCAGTATTAACCCTTTGACTGTCACAAGCCCCTTTCAGAAACTGTCATTCTGTCAAAAAAATTTTGGAAAAAAAAAAAAATTTATTTTTTCTTATGAAATGATATAGAATCTTTTCCTGATGGTAATGACACCAAAAATACGAAATTTGGTCGAAAACTCGCGGAATTACGCTCCCGCAAAGTTAGCAGTCTCGGCGACATATATGCATCGACGATTTCGCCAAATTTGTGCTCTGTTTTTGGCCAATTCTGTTGTTCCAGTTGACCAAACTCATAACTATTTGTTTAGAGCTCCATTTTTTCTATCAATTGAGTACAAGAACCCACCCATTTACCAATTTGAACTACCCAATAAAGTGGTCAGAAATTGGCAATTTGGCCAATTTCACAAATTAAAAAAGTTTTTTTTTTTTTTTTTTCAACAAGTTGGTCGTCTCCCACCGAGGCAGGGTGACCCCAAAAAGAAAGAAAATCCCCAAAAAGAAAATACTTTCATCATCATTCAACACTTTCACCACACTCACACATTATCACTGCTTTTGCAGAGGTGCTCAGAATACAACAGTTTAGAAGCATATACGTATAAAGATACACAACATATCCCTCCAAACTGCCAATATCCCAAACCCTTCCTTTAAAGTGCAGGCATTGTACTTCCCATTTCCAGGACTCAAGTCCGACTATATGAAAATAACCGGTTTCCCTGAATCCCTTCACTAAATATTACCCTGCTCACACTCCAACAGATCGTCAGGTCCCAAGTACCATTCGTCTCCTCAACGCACCACTCACCTTTTTTCCCTCATCAGTTCTATGATTAACCTCATCCTTCATAAATCTAACTGCCGACACGTCAACTCCCAAGTATCTGAAAACATTCACTTCTTCCATACTCCTCCCCAATTTGATATCCAATTTTTCTTTATCTAAATCATTTGATACCCTCATCACCTTACTCTTTTCTATGTTCACTTTCAACTTTCTACCTTTACACACATTCCCAAACTCATCCACTAACCTTGGCAATTTTTCTTTAGAATCTCCCATAAGCACAGTATCATCAGCAAAAAGTAACTGTGTCAATTCCCATTTTGAATTTGATTCCCCATAATTTAATCCCACCCCTCTCCCGAACACCCTAGCATTTACTTCTTTTACAACCCCATCTATAAATATATTAAACAACCATGGTGACATTACACATCCCTGTCTAAGACCTACTTTTACCGGGAAGTATTCTCCCTCTCTTCTACACACCCTAACCTGAGCCTCACTATCCTCATAAAAACTCTTAACAGCATTTAGTAACTTACCACCTATTCCATATACTTGCAACATCTGCCACATTGCTCCTCTATCCACTCTTATCATATGCCTTTCATACATTTATTAAAAACTGTATCTCCCCCTGCTTTAAACATTTCTGTCATGATCCCGTCAGTTCCAGCTGCTTTACTCCCTTTCATTTTACGTAATGCTTCATGCACCTCCCCCACACTTGCATCCTGCTATTCTTCACTCCTAGAAGATGTTATATCTCCCTGGCCAGTGCATGAATTTACTGCCTCCCTTTCTTCATTGGCAGTTAAAAGTTCCTCAAAATATTCCTGCCATCTACCCAATACCTCCAGCTGCTCATCTACTAACTCCCCTATTCTGTTTTTAACTGACAAATCTATTCATTCACAGTATGTATATTGGTTTTATATTTTGAATATTTGTTGGCCTCAGGATGCAGTAGATGGTGGAGTTGGCCAGGAGGAGGAGGATAAAGAAAGTAGTCCAATCTATGAAGTTATAGAAGATGGTCAGCTGGTTCAAGATTCTGCCCTCAGTGTTGATACACAACTAAGTTTTCTACCAGGCCTAGAAGCTGAAGAACCTCAGGTAAAATTAATACTGGATTCTATATCAGATTTTTATTTATTGATAAACAACTTTTATTTGTTCCATACCAGTGTAATATCATTGTGGTAACCTGTCATAATATTACCAGTATTGGTAATTTTCTAGAGGTACATGATTTATTTTTTAATCAGACTGAAGTGCTAAACAAGTTTGATTCAAGGAAGGGGAAGCTAAATACAGTTCCTTACATCAAGAGCCTCTCACACCTCTACCCCTTCAAGGGCTAGATGTGTGAGATGTATAGGAAAATAAGCCTATATTAGGGATAAGATGAGTGAGTGGTGCACTTAGGAGTCTGTGGAGACAGAGAACTTTGTCCTTGGAGGCAAAGAGGGGAATGTATGAGAGTATAGTTTTACCAACGCTCTTATATGGGTGTGAAGCATGGGTGATGAATGTTGCAGCGAGGAGAAGGCTGGAGGCAGTGGAGATGTCATGTCTGAGGGCAATGTGTGGTGTGAATATAATGCAGAGAATTCGTAGTTTGGAAGTTAGGAGGAGGTGCGGGATTACCAAAACTGTTGTCCAGAGGGCTGAGGAAGGGTTGTTGAGGTGGTTCGGACATGTAGAGAGAATGGAGCGAAACAGAATAACTTCAAGAGTGTATCAGTCTGTAGTGGAAGAAGGCGGGGTAGGGGTCGGCCTAGGAAGGGTTGGAGGGAGGGGGTAAAGGAGGTTTTGTGTGCGAGGGGCTTGGACTTCCAGCAGGCATGCGTGAGCGTGTTTGATAGGATGTGAATGGAGACAAATGGTTTTTAATACTTGACGTGCTGTTGGAGTGTGAGCAAAGTAACATTTATGAAGGGATTCAGGGAAACCGGCAGGCGGACTTGAGTCCTGGAGATGGGAAGTACAGTGCCTGCACTCTGAAGGAGGGGTGTTAATGTTGCAGTTTAAAAATGTAGTGTAAAGCACCCTTCTGGCAAGACAGTGATGGAGTGAATGATGGTGAAAGTTTTTCTTTTTCGGGCCACCCTGCCTTGGTGGGAATCGGCTTTGGGGATTAGCGTGGACGGTTACAAAGCATGGCTTGCTTCTGCAGTGTTTTAAAAACTGAGTTTGGAGAGTTGAAGGAGGAGGTCTTGCTTCTCCAGGAGGAGATTAGGAGGCTGAAGTCCACCTCAATGGGCTGGGATGAGAGTGTGAGGTGGTTGGAGATGTGGGGAATGAGGCTTCTAGCAGTGAGGTGCAGTCTGTCTCTCACTGTGAGGAGGCTGTAGGTGGGGAGGTAGCAACGGGTACCAGCAGTGAGGTGCAGCCCAGCACCTGCTACAAGTGGCGAGTTGTTCACAGTAATGGGAGGCGCATCAGAGTAAGGAAAGTTAAGAGTGAAGATCTGAAGGTAGGAAATCGCTTCTCTGTTCTCCAGGATGAATGTACTTCAGTGGCCAGTGAAGGTAAGGGTACTACTGCCCCTGCTAATGAAGGTAAGGCATTCTTGTGGTTGGTGGACTCTCAGGTAAGATATGTTGACCGTGCTTTTTGTAATAGGAATAAGAAGATGAGAGATAGAGTGTGCTTCCCTGGAGCTGGTGTTGGGGACATTGTTCAACAGACTGGATAATATCATGTCAGGTAATGGGAACAAGCCATTATCTGTCTCAGTGCTGGTGGAAATGATTATTGGGAAGGGTAGGAGAGAAGAGCTGCTAGATAAGTACAGGTCAGCTATAGATTTCATTAAGTCTAAGGGAGGGATCCCAATCATATGTAGCATCTTGCCTAGAAGGGGAGTAGGAAATGAATGGTTGTCTAGGGCAATTGGTGTAAATTGCTGGCTAGACAGATACTGCAAGGAACTTGCAATCCCATTCATTGACAACTGGAACAACTTTTATGGCAAACATGATATGTATGCAAGGGATGGGGTTTCATCTCTCTGGGGCAGGGGTGGTAGCACTTGCAGACTCGATTGAGAAGGCCATTGGTGAAATGCCTATGATTTTAAACTGATGGAAGATAGAGGTATGGGTGTGTGTGGGAAACAAGCAGGTTGCAACACTAGGGTTGGAAACAGTAAATGTATAAAAGGCATTCAGCATGAAGTTATAAATAAAGACAATAGAACAGGTCAGAAAACAAAGGGGGACAGCAGAGGGCAGCAAGGGACTAGCTCCCTTAAGGTTTACTATACTAATAGCAGGAGTGTTAGAAATAAGATAGATGAGCTAAGATTAATTGCAAGTGCAGGAAACATAGATATTATTGCTATAACAGAGACCTGGCTCAATCTGAAAGATAGAGAGATGCCATCTGAATGTCACATACAAGGCTATAAATTATTCCACACTGACAGGGTCAACAGGAAAGGTGGTGGAAGTAGCGATGTATGTCAGAGACAATTTAAATTGTTGTGTTAGACAAGATATTAAATTAGAGCGTCAGCCACTGAATCTGTTTGGTTACAGCTTCTCGAGGGCCGAGGAAAAACTAATTTTGGGTGTGATTTACAGGGCCCCAAATCTTGATAGGGAGTGCAGTAAACTTCTATGGGACGAAATTCGTAAGGCATCTACATACGAAAATGTTGTGCTAATGGGAGATTTCAACTATAGACAGATTGACTGGAGCAATTTGACAGGAAATTTAGGTCGGGTGACTTTCTTGATACGATCCAGGATTGTTTTTTTAAAACAGTTTGTGACAGAGCCAACTAGGGGAAATAACCTCCTTGACTTGGTTCTTGCCAGTAGGGAAACACTAATTAATAATCTTGAGGTTAATGATGAGCTTGGGGAGAGTGATCACAAATCACTCAGTTTTAACATATCATGGAATTCCCCTAATAATGGCAATCAAGTCTCCGTCCCTGACTTTCGCTTGGCTGATTTCATAGGACTGAAAAAATTACTTAGGTGGGCTGAACTGGAATGACGTGACTAGGGGTCAGGTAGGTGGTGATGGTTGCCGATATGATGCTTTCCAGGGCATAGTTCTAGCTGCTCAGTCAAATTATGTTCCAAATAGGGAAATCAGATCAAACAAAAATGATCCTAAATGGATGAACAATAGATTAAAATATCTGATTGGTCAAAAGAGAGGCATATATAGGCAAATCAAAAGAGGAGAGGGGCAATTAAGAAATCGATATATTCAGTTAAAGAGAGAAATAAAAAAGGGAATTAGAAAAGCAAAAAGAGATTATGAGGTTAAAGTTGCAAGAGAATCGAAGACTAACCCAAAAGGATTCTTTCAGGTATACAGAAGTAAGATCGGGGACAAGATAGGCCCACTCAAAAGTTCCTCGGGTCAGCTCACTGACAGTGATAAGGAAATGTGTAGAATTTTTAACACATACTTCCTCTCAGTTTTTACACAGGAGGATACCAGTGATATTCCAGTAATGATAAATTATGTAGAACAGGACGATAATAAACTGTGCACTATTAGGGTCACAAGTGACATGGTCCTTAGGCAAATAGATAAATTAAAACCTAACAAATCCCCAGGCCCTGATGAACTGTATGCAAGGGTTCTAAAGGAATGTAAAGAGGAGCTTAGCACACCTTTGGCTAATTTTTTCAACATATCACTACAAACTGGCATGGTGCCAGATAAGTGGAAAATGGCAAATGTGATACCTATTTTCAAAAACAGGTGACAGGTCCTTAGCTTCGAACTATAGACCAATAAGCCCAACCTCCATAGTGGGAAAATTTATGGAATCAATAATTGCCGAGGCAGTTCGTAGCCACCTTGAAAAGCATAAATTAATCAACGAATCTCAGCATGGTTTTACAAAGGGACGTTCCTGCCTTACGAATTTATTAACTTTTTTCACTAAGGTATTTGAGGAGGTAGATCATGGTAACGAATATGATATTGTGTATATGGACTTCAGTAAGGCTTTTGACAGGGTCCCACATCAGAGATATTGAGGAAAATTAAAGCACATGGAATAGGAGGAGAAATTTTTTCCTGGATAGAGGCATGGTTGACAAATAGGCAGCAGAGAGTTTGCATAAATGGGGAGAAATCAGAGTGGGGAAGCGTCACGAGCGGTGTTCCACAGGGGTCAGTGTTGGGCCCCTGCTGTTCACAATTACATAAACGACATAGATGAGGGCATAAAGAGCGACATCGGCAGTTTGCCGATGACACCAAAATAGGCCGTCGAATTCATTCTGACGAGGACATTCGAGCACTCCAGGAAGATTTGAATAGACTGATGCAGTGGTCGGAGAAGTGGCAGATGCAGTTTAATATAGACAAATGCAAAGTTCTAAATGTTGGACAGGACAATAACCATGCCACATATAAACTAAATAATGTAGATCTTAATATTACGGATTGCGAAAAAGATTTTGGAGTTTCTGGTTAGCAGTAATCTGAAACCAAGACAACAGTGCATAAGTGTTCGCAATAAAGCTAATAGAATCCTTGGCTTCATATCAAGAAGCATAAATAATAGGAGTCCTCAGGTTGTTCTTCAACTCTATACATCCTTGGTTAGGCCTCATTTAGATTATGCTGCACAGTTTTGGTCACCGTATTACAGAATGGATATAAATTCTCTGGAAAATGTACAAAGGAGGATGACAAAGATGATCCCATGTATCAGAAACCTTCCCTATGAGGATAGGACTAAGGGCCCTGAAACTGCACTCTCTAGAAAGACGTAGAATTAGGGGGGATATGATTGAGGTTTATAAGTGGAAGACAGGAATAAATAAAGGGGATGTAAATAGTGTGCTGATAATATCTAGCCTAGACAGGACTCGCAGCAATGGTTTTAAGTTGGAAAAATTCAGATTCAGGAGGGATATAGGAAAGTACTGGTTTGGTAATAGAGTTGTGGATGAGTGGAACAAACTCCCAAGTACCGTTATAGAGGCCAGAACGTTGTGTAGCTTTAAAAATAGGTTGGATAAATACATGAGTAGATGTGGGTGGGTGTGAGTTAGACCTGATAGCTTGTGCTAACGGGTCGGTTGCCGTGTTCCTCCCTTGAGTCAATGTGACCTGACCTGACTAGGTTGGTGTGCATTGGCTTAAGCCGGTAGGGACTTGGACCTGCCTCGCATGGGCCAGTAGGCCTTCTGCAGTGTTCCTTCGTTCTTATGTTCTTATAATAAAAAAATAAAAAATTAGGGATAAGATAGACAATAGAATTGTGGAGGTACAAGGATTCCTCAGGAAGGGTAGAGGACATGTAGACAAAGTAAGCATAAGTGAACAGTAGTTAAATACAAATAAGAAACTATTTGTCAGCTTTATTATTTGGGAAAGACATATGATAGGGTCCTAGGTAGTAGGTTGGTAGACAGCAACCGCCCAGGGAGGTACTACCGTCCTGCCAAGTGAATGTAAAACGGAAGCCTGTAATTGTTTTACATGATGGTAGGATTGCTGGTGTCTTTTTTCTGTCTCATAAACATGCAAGATTTCAGGTACATCTTGCTACTTCTACTTACACTTAGGTCACACTACACATACATGTACAAACATATATATATATATACACAACCATCTGGAGGCAGTGGAGATGTCCTGTCTAAGGGCAATGTGTGGTGTAAATATTATGCAGAAAATTCGGAGTGTGGAAATTAGGAGAAGGTGTGGAGTTAATAAAAGCATTAGTCAGAGGGCAGAAGAGGGGCTGTTGAGGTGGTTTGGTCATTTAGAGAGAATGGATCAAAGTAGAATGACATGGAAAGCATATAAATCTATAGGGGAAGGAAAGAGGGGTAGGGGTCGTCCTCGAAAGGGTTGGAAAGAGGGGGTAAAGGAGGTTTTGTTGGGTGAGGGGCTTGGACTTCCCGCAAGCGTGCATGAGCGTGTTAGATAGGAGTGAATGGAGACGAATGATACTTGGGACCTGACGATCTGTTGGAGTGTGAGCAGGGTAATATTTAGTGAAGGGATTCAGGGAAACCGGTTATTTTCATATAGTCGGACTTGAGTCCTGGAAATGGGAAGTACAATGCCTGCACTTTAAAGGAGGGGTTTGGGATATTGGCAGTTTGGAGGGATATGTTGTGTATCTCTATACGTATATGCTTCTAAACTGTTGTATTCTGAGCACCTCTGCAAAAGCAGTGATAATGTGTGTGTGTGGTGAAAGTGTTGAATGATGGAAAGTATTTTCTTTTTGGGGATTTTCTTTCTTGTTTTTGGGTCACCCTGCCTCGGTGGGAGACGACCGACTTGTTGAAAAAAAAAGAAGAAAACCCAGATGGGTGTTTTTTTTTTTTTTTTTCTTTCTAGTTCTTGTTCTTGTTCTTGTTTATTTCCTCTTACCTCCATGGGGAAGTGGAACAGAATTCTTCCTCCGTAAGCCATGCGTGTTGTAAAAGGTGACTAAAATGCTGGGAGCAAGGGGCTAGCAACCTCTTCTCCTGTATGTTACTAAATGTAAAGGGAGAAACTTTCGTTTTTTCTTTTGGGCCACCCCGCCTCTGTGGGATACGGCCGGTGTGTTGAAAGAAGAAAGATATGATAGGGTAGATAGGACAGCAGTGTGAATGTTGCTAATGTATGGAAAAGGTAGTAAGTTACTAAGAGTGGTTGAAATATATAGTGTGGTGCAGGTTAGGGTATGTTGGAAAGTGGACAACTATTTTCCAGTGAAAGAAGGCTTTAAACAGAGATATGTGATGCCCCCATGGTTGTTCAGCATGTTTATTATAGAAGTAAATGCTAGGGTGTTGGGGAGAAGTGTGTTATTAAAAAAAATAATTAATCTGATAAAAAAAAAGTGCTAGTTGTCCCAGTTGCTTTGCTGATGAGGCAGTTCTTTTGGGAGATTTCAAAGAAAATTTGCAAGGGTTGGTGCATAAATTTGGGAGGGTATGTGAAACAAGGAAATTAAAAGTGAATGTAGAAAACAGCATGATGACAGTGACAAAAAATAGGCAGTGAAAGAGTGGATATCAGACTAGAGGGTGGGAGTATGGAGGAAGTGAACGTATTCAGATCCTTGAGGGTTGACATGCTGGCAGGTGGGTTTATTAAATACATATTAAACCATAGCATAGATGAGGGGAGGGGAACATAGCCGGTGTGTTTAGGCATCTATGGAGAGAAAAGTTTATCCACAGAGGCAGTGTGTAGTGTGATTACTATGCAGAGAATTCAAAGTAGAAATTGAAAGATGGTCTATGGGTATGGCTTAGGAATATACCCATGAAGCTCAGGAATGTCCAAGAGTTGCTGTGGACCCTTTGAAACTGACCAAGCCTCTTCTGTTTGGAAGATATCATTCTCTTTAAGAACCTTTTCTTGTTTACACTCCAACAGCACACCCATTGAAAACTACTCATCCTCATTGACTCCTATCTAACACACTAATTATTAATTCTTCCATATTTCCTCAAGTGTGATAAATAAGTGAATAATTTCTTAAAATTTGTGCTATACTGTGCCATACAGGATTACCATATAATGGGGCAATTGCACACCAATTTAAAAGTACAGCATAGGATAAATGTAGAATATTGAATGGTAGCTCCCAAATAGGTACGTTTTTATAGGTACCTAGTGCATATTTTGGAAACTGCTCGAGTAATGGGCACTTTTAGACTGGTGTGCATTTACTCCTCATATGGCACAATTGCCCTATTATACAATGTTGTATATTCACTGCTTCTTGAATGTATTGCAGTCTCTGTAATTTTTTGATTCTAGACTTGACACATTCAAATACTGTTCCATCCTGAATGATTTGAGACAAGTGAGAAGATAGGCTTGGCTGGATGCACTTGAGGCACATTAAGTAAAAGGGCGTAAGCTTCACCCTGGCTAAAAATGGTATTTTGTTATGATCTGTTTCATGTTACTGTCTTATGGCAGAAGGTCTGAAGCATCTCTGATGCTGTTCTGTGAGCTAAAAAAGGTCAGACAACAAATTTTCATGTAAAGTTTGGGGGAGAGAACTCATTTTGGTAACGTGCTCTGATCTCTAGCAGACCTTACCAAGACTAGAACTGTCTACCAGTGTTGCTTATTGTAAAAGAAACCTGTTGGTAATTATAAAATACCTTGATAATAGTTTTTATCAGATATACCATGAATTACTTAATTTCAATTATACATGTACAGATGTTGACAAATAATTCACTTGCACTCATTCACACTCTTTTAAGCTTACATACATGAAAATCAGACAGTCTGGCTAATAGTGTCTTACAAAATACTATTTGAATGATTTTTTTTTTTTTTTTTTTTTTTTTTAACACGTTGGCCATCTCCCACTGAGGCATGGCGATCCAAAAAAGAAAAACACTTTGACCATCATTGAATACTTTCACCATCATTCACACATAATCACTGTCTTTGCAGAAGTGCTCATATACGACAATTTGTTTGTCACTACAAACAGCCAATATCCCAAACCCCTCCTTTAAAGTGTAGGCATTGTGCTTCTTACCCCCATGACTCGAGTCCAGCTAACCAGTTTCCCCGAATTCCTTCACAAAATATTACCCTGCTCACACTCCAACAGCTCATCAGGTCCCAAAAAACCATTCATTTCCATTCACTATTGAACATGCTCATGCTTGCCTGCTGCATGTCCAAGCCCCTTGCACACAAAACCCCTTTTACCCCCTATCTCCATTAATTTACAAGTTTTGACTTGCAAACTTGGAACATTCTTTTTATCTCGGGTTTTTAAAATTGATGCTTATGCCCTTGTTGGATCAGAAAATCTTTGGTGTTATGTATTTTAGTGTAAAGATGTTTGATTACAAAATTTACTTTGTATTATATTCATACTGAACTTGGTAATTTATCTTTTATTCTCTCTCTCTTTTTTACAGTTTTACTATGCCTTGTACAACTTTGGTGGCTCTGATTCAACCCAACTGAATTTAGTTGCTGGACAGGTGGTGCTTATTCTACATGCCAAATCTTCAGACTGGTGGTTTGTGGAAGATCGCAATGGCAAACAAGGATATGTGCCAGCAACATACCTTGCCAAATACTCATAAAATTGTCTTCTCTCTGCAATTTGCAGGTCAGAATTTATCATTTTATGAAACTAACTTTGTTCTCAAAGCTTTCCAAAGTTGCTAAGCTCAAAATGTTATTACAACTGACCATTTGAACAAAAACATAGTACACTGAAGAGGATACATATGCATCTTTTTCTGAAGCTGATATGCAGTAGGTACTTTCTTTTGCAGAATTGGGTGCACCCTCCCAACTAAAAAGACTACCTGGCATAGGACCTTGACTTGAACCTCAAGTATTCAACCATAAGTGTACAACAACCAATAGACTTCTTTATATTAAATGTTCTTCACAAAGTTTCATATTTGAAGTCCAATTTTGAAACCAAGATCTTATTCAGTGAACATCAATCAAATGAGGACACTCTTCTGGACATGTACTCTCATGACATTAGTGTTATACCATCATCACAAATAACGGCTACAACTTCACATGATTTTGCAAAGTTGATCAAAACAGAGTTGTGAAATTCTAATTTTAAGGTGCATCATGGAAAGTTAAATGTTCATAATTTCATCCATATCTTTAATGTAGATTACTCTTTACTTAAATATTACCTAATTAAAAAGAGAAGAGGATACATCTGAGCCCAGAAATTTTGAAAATTAACTGATGTGTCTACACAACCCACTTTCTATTTTTAATGCAGAAAAAAGTTACTAAAAACATTAACCACATTTGTGCAGTTTCATTTGCTTACAACTAATAAATAATGGTGCATTATTCTAGGCAGTAAGTACCATTACTGGAAGTATTGCTCAACACTGCATAGATGCTCAAGCACCAATAATAGTCATTTGGCACACTATTGATTAGCTTCAAATATTTATTGACAAAAACAAAAAGGTAAGCTATTTTAAAACTTTATAAACCCTTACTAGAATTCAACACAGAATGGGCTGAATTTGGTTGTGAATAACTGAGTAGAAATAATATTGAATATAGATTATGGTAGTGAGTGATTTTGGTGTGCTGCTTGCAAATAAAAATAGTGATCAAGTTTTAGGTAAAATGAAATAATGTTTTACTTGTGAATAAGCTTGATTGATGAAACCCACTAGAGACTTGTGGGTTTCTATAGAACACTGCTGGCTTGCAGAATAAAAAATGTCTGTATAACAGTGTGTCTGTATGCAAAACACAATGATCATCAACAAGCACAAATATACATTTCACCTGTGGGTAACATGAAAGACTTGACATCAATGTACAAAGTATCTGCAGGACATGTACAAAGTATTTGCAATATCCCATCTACAAAAAAAAAAAAGAAAAAAAAATAGCCATTTGCCTTCTATACTGACAAGAGCAGTCACTAATTGGACCTCACTAAGTCGTATATATTTTACATTTTTCTTTTAAATTCGTAAAATATTAATGTAAAGTGGCAGTGAAATGAGAAAATATGGTGAGATTGGCAATAACACAATTTGAAATTTATGTTATGGCTGATTATTTTTTCATTTATCAAAAATGTGCCAATTTACAAGTGATATATGCTATGTACTTTATGAAACATTGTAAATATTGTTCAGAAACCTGAAGGTAGAAGTCAAAGTGAACTCTGTTAATGAAACTTGTGATTTCATTAACAGTTCTTTTGTTTCAAAACTAGAAATTTACATCCAACATTTTCATTGTGGATTTAATTATATTTTACATTATTTTTTTACTTGCATCATTCCTCAAAGCAATTAGTCCTAATTGTAAGAAAAGGAAAGACAGAAGAATATAAGCAAGCAAGCAAGCAAACCTTTTTTTCTTTTATTCAGAGCTACATGCATTCCAGAATCACTTAGAATGTAGAGTCCACAACACACAAAATTCATAATTAAGAGAGAAGAGATCTACAGGAGGGAAAAATAATATGAATCATGAAATTAAGAGCTAGTAGTAGTGTGAATTGCTGCACCAGGTATATAAAATGTCATAATTATTTTCTCGTTTCATCAAGAATTTTCTCCGGTTATTTGCTTTTTGCATTCTTAATATTCAATACAGTATATTAGTTCATGAATTACTCATCCCCTCCACCAGCTCTTTTCTTTTCCCTTCTTTCTTTTGTGGCTAAATCAAGTTATTTGAATTCTATGCCTGTGCATGGTAAGCAACATAGTTGTGGAAGTTCAGTACGTGACTACCACCAGTCACTTGTTAATCTAACTGAGCTATTAATATTCTTGGTTTGTGTTCATTTTGCATCTTGCTGTGCAAGGGGGGAAACAGAAATTTTTGTGCCAATTGAATTAGTATGCAATATTTTTTTAGCAAATACCTAATTATGTACTGTATTGTATTATCAATCTTTCATGTGAATTTCTGTGTCCTAATTGCAGACTTGGACTGAAAAGGTGTTTTTGGGGATCAAGACTATGATGTATGGTTACCTAGAAGGGTAAATTACATTCCATGAATCACATTGACTGTCTTTAGGGTTAGTGGATTTCATTCTCTTGAAACTGTTGTGAAGAGCCAAATCACTGGAGCTTGGCTAGAATTGGCAGTTTCATACTAGAAATTTTAAAAGTTTGCCTAATGAAATTGGTTTCAGTGAAGGGCATATGTTGTACATTGGCATTATTCTATATTATATAATTTTTTCTCATAATTCATATGAAATGTAAAGATTCCATCATCTCTTTTTGACCTGACAAGTTGTTTCCCGAGGTGCAGTTAATCCTAGTTATTAGTGTCATAATGACCTAATAATTTGGTACCAACTTCTGTGGTAAAATTGTTCCCTAGCATTTGTAATTTTTTTTTTTTTTTTTGGGGGGGGGGACATTGGACTAGTCTATGGTCAAATTCTTGTTGCTGATCATTGCAATAGTTACTAGGTCAGAAATCAATTACAGTCTGGTATTGACAATGCCATACTCATCTGCACCTCTGTATAGTAGATGTTGATAGTGGCTTTCTTGTTATTGCTGTGCTCAGGGTGAGGTTGTTTGTAATTTTTACCATTGAGAGTTTTAGTCGAATTAGTTTTAAATTTTTATTGGTTACTGGTTTCTGCAGCTGACATACCTCTTTTCAAAACTATGGTAGTACTCTGAAACTGATTTTTTGTAGTAGTACATATAATACAAAAAAAAAAAAATGAGTGAATAAGTGTTCAAATATATTTGGAGCTCAAGGTGATCTTTGTATTTTTAATGCTTCAACTTAAAAATTTTTTATTAGTGCTAAACATTTAGAAATTTATTTTAGGGCCAAAGTCAGACATTATGTAAGTTATCAGCTGTCAAATATACACAATAAGTCCTGTTCATTAGCAGTCAGTCTCAGCAAATTGAAGTTAAGTTATACCGTATTTTGTTTTTTTCGACACGTCAGCCATCTCTCACCAAGGCAAGGTGACCAAAATAAGAGAAATACATTCATAATCTTTTTCAGTAGCTATCTTGCCAGAAGTGTGCAGACATATTTCAGATTACTTTCCAAATCGCAACATCCCCATCTCTTCTTAAAGCGCAGACTCTGTGCTTCCCACCTCCGAATCCACCTAACTGGTTTTTCTTAATCCCTTTGTAATTATTTAAATTAATGAAATGCAGTAATGTAAATATCCTTTAATGAGGAAGGCTTTTTTTTTTTTTCAACAAGTCGGCCGTCTCCCACCAAGGCATGGTGGCCCAAAAAGAAAAATCCCCCAAAAGAAACTATTTTCATCATCATTCAACACTTCACCTCACTCACACATAATTACTGTATTTGCAGAGGTGCCCAGATACAACACTTTGTAGGATAGTTGGCATATAATAGATGATATAAATATAACATACCCCTCCAAACTGCCAATATCCCAAACCCCTCCTTTAAAGTGCAGGCATTGTACTTCCCATTTCCAGTACTCAAGTCCAGTTATATAAAAATAACCGGTTTCCCTGAATCCCTTCACTAAATATTACCATGCTCACACTCCAACAGCCCATCAGGTCCCAAAAGCTATTCATCTCCATTCACTCGTATCTAACACACTCACACGTGCTTGCTGGAAGTCCAAGCCCCTCGCCCACAAAACCTCCTTTACCCCCTCCCTCCAGCCTTTTCGAGGATGACCCCTACCCCGCCTTCCTTCCCCTACAGATTTATATGCTCTCCAAGTCATTCTATTTTGATCCATTCTCTCTAAATGACCAAACCACCTCAACAACCCCTCTTCAGCCCTCTGACTGATACTTTTAGTAACTCCACACCTCCTAATTTCTACTCTGAATTCTCTGCATAATATTTACACACATTGCCCTTAGACAGGACATCTTCATTGCCTCCAGCCACCTTCTTGCTGCAGCATTTGCAACCCAAGCTTCACACCCATATAAGAGTGTTGGTACCACTATACTTTCGTACATTCCCTTCTTTGCCTCCATGGATAACGTTTTTTTGTCTCCGCAAATACCTCAGCGCATCACTCGCATTTTTTCCTAAATCAATTCTGTGGTTAACCTCAACCTTCATAAACCCATCCACTGAGAAGTCAACTCCCAAATATCTGAAAACATTTACTTCTTCCATACTCCCTCTCTCCAGTGTGATAGGAAGGCATATATAAATTAATTTAATTAATAATTTAAAATTTTGTATTAAAATAGATAATTTACCTGTGTTAAATATTGTACACTGAGCAAGTCTTTTTCATAGTGAATCATTCCAGTAAGGAAACTTTCTTTTACATCAAGCTGTGTTATATCTTTTTCAAATTAAAATGAAATTCAAGTAGACTTTCAAAAATTACATTGACTGCTGCTATTGAATTTGATAGATCTTTGTGCAGTTGATTTGTGAGGCTAATTTGAATTTATTTCTCATTCATTTGGAAATTTTTTGTGTTGAGCCTGCATTATCAGATTTTTTGTTTTCAGTCTTTTTTTTAATAGGTCAGTAGGACTTAATTTATCTGACATTGTTGTGAGTAGGGGTGAAAGTTATCCCACTTTGTCATAACTTATATATACATTTATCACAGTATTTTCATTATGTATGAAGTACCTGTTGTAAATTACTTCGCAAAAATACATTGTAAAATTGTAATTAAAAAATTCCGTGCAGTTTATCCACTTCAGTAAAACATTGTAGGTGGTTACTCAGATTTAAGCATCATAGGGGGTACCAGAAGTTGTCAGTGCATATTTCTCATCAGCATCAAAACCACACAAACTTAAATCAGATTCTTTGAACTCGTGAACACTGTGGTAAAGATGAAAGCCTAAAACTTCTGCATGAAAAACATTGGCTTTTTTTTTATCACCTTAGGTTCAGAAACAAGCTCAAGTTTCCTGTGAAGCTGGCAAGTCCATTTATAGGATATATTCATATCAAGAGTTCTGACGTTCACAATGATTTTTTCTAGATAGTCACTTTCATGTAAAACTTTTCTTTGCCTTTGGTCATTTAATATAAAATCTTGTAGTAATTCATCTGTGCTGAACTCCTGCTTACACTGTAATCTAGCTTCATCAATAACAGTATACTTACTATTTTCATAGATAAAACCTTAATCTTTCTCTTTACTAAATGCACAACAAATCTCAGCCAGTTTTATAAAATATACCTCATTTAGTTGGGGCTAATTGTAATCACCAACATGCACATATACAATTAATGATTCTAATCAGACAGTTCAGCATAATTGCAGTGTAGTGTATGCAAAGAATAATTAAGGAATGATGTATGTATAATGTATCACTTGTAAGCACTAGTGACAACAGATAAAAGGGGCATGGCTAGGAACCAGTAATTTTTTTTTTTACATATGTATGTATATCTGATAAATTAAGTTCTGCTGTATTATTTTACTCTTTGTATTGAATCTCTTTGAATATTTACAGATGTTTTTTTAAAATTACCTCTTATTATTACTGTAATATTTTTTGTATCTATTTCATTGCAATTCTTTACATCACAGTACTCAACAAAGTACATTGCTCAATTAGCACAAAGTTTTGCCATTAAAATGTGTTGAAAAATTATAACTATTTTTTTAATTGCACATTATTCAGTAAAGAATTATTTTGGTTTAAATTTTAGATAATCTAATGTAAAACTGACATGTACAGTGGGGGTTGAAGTTCCTGCCAATTAGTATATATCTTGCTATTTCTCTTTAATTTCATATAAATTTTAGTGGAGGATTGCAATTCCATGACAAGTTAGAATTCAAAAAGTGTTGTGACTGAAGAGTCATTGTATACTCTACAGTTAGCAGGTTTTTGCTTATTATTCTCCTAGACATATGTCTAGCATATGTTTCTGAGCCTGAATATCTTAGAAATGAATCTTGTTATTTCTAATGGTGTAATAATTTCTTGGATGTAGATCTGGCATTCATTATAGTAATACTTAATGTCCATATTTTTTTAATATTGATTACCTTGATATTAAAATGTCTTGCTAGTTATACCGTTTTGTCATTGTAGTTGCATATACAGTAAATCCCCTCTCATAATGGGTGGAATATATTTCTGAAAATTTTGATGCCGTTGAAAATTAGTTTTACTGAAGTGAAGACTATATGGGAAAAATAGGGTTATGTTCCAGACACCTCTAAGTTGCCAAACTTTATTTTTAACCCTTTCAGGGTCCGTCCCGTAGATCTACGGCTTTACGTTCAGGGTCCAAACCGTAGATGTACGCCATGAGCTCAGCTCACTCTGATAAACTGTGAGTGGTACATTTGGGCCTAGATATGAGAGAATACATCTATGTGGTATGTGTGCACCACATAAAACAGATCCTGCAGCACACTGTGTATAATGAGAGAAAAAAAATGAAATCATGATTTTTCGATTAAAACAGCAACTTTGCAGTGTTTTTTCGTATGTTTTTTATAGTTGTATTTGCGATTTCTTGGTCTCATTTGATAGAATGGAAGACATATTACATAAATAGAGATGATTTTGATTGGTTTTTAGCACTGGAAATGGCTTGAAACTGAGCTCAAAGTAGCAGAAATGTTAAATTTTTGCCGATATTCAAGAGTAAACAAACGACCTCACACGTCTAATACACGTCAGCTGGTGGGTCTAATATACATTCACAAATATGGTGATGATATTTATACAATTATTACAGTATTGCATAACAGTAAATCTTCTATTTTTTGGTGTGAATAAAAATTCATTATGTGAATAAAAAATCAAAATGGAATTTATTTGTAAAGCCTCAAAACATAACTAATGAACAGAGGAAATGTTAGTTTAGTGCCAGGAATGCCTACATTGTTCATTCTGGACCCTATTTTGAAATTGGAATATTTTGAACTTTGTGTTAAATTGGCCAAATTAACAATTTCCGATCACTTTATTTTGTAGTTTGAAACAGTTGACTTGGCGATTTCTTGTGCTCAATCGATAGAATAGAAGTAATACTAGTGAAATAGCTAAGAATTTGGTTGATTGGAATAATGTAATTGGCCTAAAATGGGAGTCAAAGTCGGCAAAATCGCCGATTCGTAAATATCGCTGACACATCAAAATTCGCGAGAGCACAATTTCGTCAATTTTCCACCAAATTTCGTACTTTTTGTTTTATTACGTTCACAAAAAGATTCTCTACGATTTCATAAGAAAAAATAAATTTTTTTTTTTAAAATTCTTGGACACTGGTGCGTGACTCCAGATTTGGGCCTTGGACCCTGAAAGGGTTAATATTCTTCTAGTTAAAATTTACTATGGTTTATTTAACCTTACATATGGTTAGTCATTACTTGAAATATTTGAAGAGGAGGGAAGAGAAAGTTTAACTGGGCTTTTGGGATTGAGTTAAAAATGGAAAGATTTATCAACTGACATTGTGGTACATATCAAAAATGAAAGCCTTATGTCCTTACCATATTGTACCAAACTCCTAGGAACTTGCCACACCTATACCAAATGAACATATACCAAAGATAAATGTATTTGATAGGGCAGTGCAAAGAAAAAATATAAAAATGTGAAATGCAGCATAAACTGGATGCCCTCAGCATCATAAAAATCACATTTCCTTATTAAATTTTGCCATATAAAGGAACTCAACACATACCATATACATTGCACTGAAGGTGAGTGCATGTGAAGAATAACCATCAAATAAATAATGTAATGTGCTGCACTTAAAAAATGTGGAGGGAGCACTCTCCAGGTGGTGTACAGAGAACTGCTGTTTCTGACTAGCAATATCGAGAGTACAGATTGCTATAAATCTTAGATATGTATCGAAATTGTCTGTAACTTAGTGTGATCTATGCATAATGGGTCCTGTTGTGTTTAGTCAAAGAACAAGTAATAGGTCTAATCACATACGTTGGCCAAACCAAAGCCAAATTCAGCAGAGAAATAGTACGCCTCAATTTTTCTTTTAAAATATTACTCTTATGTTGATAATTTATCATGGGCAGTAGTTAGCAGGAGACCTGCCCATACTACTACTCGTATTATCCAAATAAATACTGCCTTGTCTAGCAAGATGGGGAGGAATATCTATGTAATATATAAGGTGTCTGGACAGTCATCTGGTGTCATAGTGAAGATGCATGTGATATTCACTACAACTTATGGGTCTGAAAACTTATTCTCACTTTATTATCAAATATTATGGTCAACAGTTGTAGAAATACAATTAAGAGTAGATTAATCAATCAAGGAAGGGTAATGTGTATTACATGGTTAATAATTGGAAGAAAGTCTAACACTAAACTTTCACATATTCTGATATCGCACAGAATGTTCTCTTCAAACTTTAAATTCTAAGGTTTTAAATAAATTAAGTACTAAGTTAAATTTTGAACAACCTTAGATAAGATATGTGGTATCCAATAGATGATTTGCTCTTGCTATGCAAGAATGGTAGGGAGACAACTCACGACTCAGTGAGTAGGATGTCGGGAGATACGGAGGTACTACTCAAATGGCTGGAGAGCAAGTATGGGGATACCAACTAGTACTACCCAAATTTATCTTGTTAAAAAAAAAATTTACTACAATGCTGAGGTTATTTCATACACATTGCAACTGTGAATGCACTTCTTGTTTCATTTTTCACAATATTATGCTAATTGGTGTTACTTTATGAGAGGGTTTTTACTGTGCGTGTGTGTGTGTGTGTGTGTGTATATATATACATTTTTTTTTTTTCAACAAGTCGGCCGTCTCCCACCGAGGCAGGGTGACCCAAAAAAAATACTTTCATCATTCAACACTTTCACCACACTCACACATTATCACTGCTTTTGCAGAGGTGCTCAGAATACAACAGTTTAGAAGCATATACGTATAGAGATACACAACATATCCCTCCAAACTGCCAATATCCCAAACCCCTCCTTTAAAGTGCAGGCATTGTACTTCCCATTTCCAGGACTCAAGTCCGACTATATTATATATGTATTAATATATATATTGTGTGTGTGTATATATATATATACGTGTGTATATATATATACACGTGTGTATATATATATATATAAATATGTGTATATTTATCTATATATATACACGTGTGTATATATATATACACGTGTATATACATATATACACGTGTATATACATATATAATATATATATATATATATATATATATATATATATATATATATATATTATATATATTTTTTTTTTTTTTTTTTTTTTTTTTTCCACAAGTCGGCCATCACCCACTTCTCTGTGTTCTATGCATTTTATTCTGAAATTATACTTTTAGATTTAGTGTATAACATTATAATGCTTATCATATACTGTATTACAAATTGGAAATTCAGTTTACTGTGAAATAATGGGTGTCCACAGAAACCTGCATGTTTTTTTTTTAAGCCTTTGAAAAGTTTTCAGACTGCAGTTAAACTAAAAGATAAAATTATTTTTTTTTTTTATGAATCAAAGGCATTTCAACTGAGTAAGCCTTTTAATGATTGCTCTCCCTCTGTGGGGGTTTGGTCAAGTAAATTTGTCAGCTTTTGCCATCTACCTAGTAATTTTTTTAAATATTGTATATTCTCAGTAACCAAGAGCCTTGCTACGGACAAGTTATAAAACTCATACATGATTGCAGACACCCTACATCGTTACTTAAACTGAACAAAACATTATTTATGACAATTGCATGCCTCAAAAATATATTGATGTACAGTATATATGATTATATTATTTATGTAAGTGATGTATATGATTTACTTTGTATTTATGTAAGTGATGAAAATTAATAAAATTGTCTTTGTATATTGTATACCACAAATGACAGACTATAGACTAACCTTAGTATTACTATTACATGACTGTAACCATGGACCAGCTTTGTATAATTGTTTTGCAGTTATGTCGCCAATAACTTGAAAATCTTCTGAATTACCTGTGATAATCATTTATGTAAAGCTCTATGTAATCCAAGGTGTTAAAACAATTATAATTTGACATGTTAATGGCATTTTATTTTACCATATTTGTTGTGTGGGCATGCTAAGCTAGCACTAGTGATCAGCTAGTTTGTCAAGACTGTGCTTCACCTCCTGGATGCTACGTCATAAACATTGACTAGCATTTTATACAGCTGAACCCCCAAATTAGCAATGGTTAGGTTCCTAGATGTCCTCATGAATTCAGAATTTGTAAATACAGTTGAGAATCCTTTATCCAAGATGCTTGGGCCCAAAAGTGTTTCGGATTTCGGAATATTTGAATATTTGTGAAACCAATCATAAAGAGATGTCCCTGGTGATCCATTCCCTTTTGTCAGCATGATCAGCAGATGCCTTATCACCGCTAATCTTTAAATATATAATGCCATGCCTTTTCTTGAATTTTTGTAACATGTCAGCTGAATATATACAGTTACCTTCAATATTCAGTTCGGCATGACAGATTTTTCCTAGTTTTATGATTAGCATTCTGTTAAGTGGCATATTCGCACTCCAACGCTAAGAAATCTCCATCAATACTCAGTCAAAAACTTTATTTTTCCCCTCTGTGCAATGTTTTTCTATTGTTTCAATAACTTCTGCTCATCACTTTCAGCATAGAACTTCAACAATTTGTCCTCCAGTTTCTTTAGGTTGTAGATAGTTGTTCCAACACCAAATCCCTCAGTCAGAATCTTCACACTTACACTGTTGTCAAGTTTTTCCAACAACTTTACTCTCTGTGACATAGATAAACACAAATATTTCCTCTTTCTTTTCACTATTACCCATAAACCTTTTTGACATTTTCAACAATATCTTCACACCACAGAGCACAAAATATACAGTAATCAGCAAGTAATTGCTGCTGGCAACAAACTGAATGATCCATTTATGGCACAATGTCAACACTTGAAAACTCCAGGATTTTGGAATTTCAGATAAAGGACTATTGTACCACTAAATTTTGCAGGTCTAATAAATTTGGTTTCGGATGTGGATTAATTTTGTTTCAGATTAGATCTTGCCTTCTTCAGATGTCTGATTTACCCTCATCCCTTTCTTCAACTTCAATAATGGGAATATTTCCCCTTCTAGTAAAATTCACTCCTTGCAGAAGGAAAATGGTTTTAATAATCCATACAATTTGGCATCCTTTCCAATGGTGAGCCTCAGTGGTCATAGCTTTAATTAAAGGAAACTGGGATATTTTGGGGGATATCAGATAGTTCCTTGCATGACCTTCTGGTGATCATATGGTATCAAAAGAACTATCAGAGGTTGCCTGTGGATCCAGGAATGGAAAATGGCATACAACTAGCATTAATTCCGGTCTGGGTGTGCCCAATGCAGAGATGGGAGAGCATAGTGTCCCAACCTCAGCATCAGTAACGAGAAGGGCAGAAACCTAAACTTGGTTTGATAGAGTGTATTTTGTTATGAGGCAAATAGGACCACTGTTAACAATGGTTGTAAAGGTGGTTAGAGATTACAGCAAAATAGTCTGAGAATAGAAAACCTCTATATGAAACTGGGAGGTCATGTACTACAGACTGCACAGCAGAGTCTGCCTGCTTATTGCCCTGAACATCATCATGACCAGGGACCCAACAGAAAACGATTTCTTTGTTTTTGCTAGTAATGCGGTGCAACCAAAATTGTATACGAAGAACTAGGGGATGAGGCGAATCAGTTTTTTTTAATAGCTTGCAATGCACTAAAGGAGTCCGAGACGATCACAAACTCTGAGGTAGGAATAGATGCAATACGGATAATTGCAATGAGAATTGCATATGATTCATCTGTTAAAATGCTGGTAAATTAGACAAGTGCAACACTTGGGTACCTTTATTGAGGAAACGTTTTGCCACACAGTGGCTTCATCAGTCCATACAAAGGAGAATGATGAAGAACAGAAGGAGTTTGAGTGATAACACCCATGACTACTTCACCTCACCTGTGTACAGCATATAAACCACTTCGTCGTGCATATGCTGTATTCTTTTCAAGATAGATGGACTGACTACATCGACTCCAGGTTGAGGGACTGATTACCTCATACACCACCTGTTCTTCACCATTCTCCTTTGTATGGACTGATGAAGCCAGTGTGGCAAAACATTTCCTCAGTAAAGATACCCAAGTGTTGCATGTGTCTAACTTATCAACTTGTCAGTTCTCTGAACCATTTATCTGTAAAAATGCTAGCCAAGTCTAATAAATGACCCCACACTATGCTGTCTGGGAACACAGAAAATGTAGAACCATCAGTGTACACTGCGATGGCATGAGACGAGACTAAAAGTGATTAAGAAAAAGAGAGCTAGAAGCAACTGTAGGCATTTTGGCTTTCGCGCTCGGCAGTGCGGAAGAACAGACACAAACTGTCTGAACCACCTTACTCATACTCCCCCCTAATTCTACACCTTTCTATAGAGTGCAGATTCAGTGCCCTCAGTTTATCCTCATAGGGAACATTTCTGATACACGAGATCAACTTTGTCATCTTTCTCTGTACATTTTTCAGCGCATTTGCCCATTCTGTAATATGGTGACCAGAGCTGTGCAGCAATCTCAATGAGACCTAACAACAATATATAGAAAGTACATAGAAACCCTTCATATTTATACAAAACCCTTCACACTTGCATAAAAACCCTTCACAATCAAACATCAAAATGCAAAAGCAGTTTACCATTGTACATTAAAACTATATTCATCCTGAAATGAAACCCATTCACAAACACAATCTCCACAATCACGTGAAAATCCTTCACAGTCATATGAAACTCTTGTGCTTTTTATGCACACACTGACAAGATCACAAGTTATCATGAATTACCTGTAATCAGCCACATAAAACTGATGTTTATGTCGCCTTTATCGTTATCTTATCTCCACCGACGAGGTCAGTACAGCGAGCCACACTTGATGAATGCTGGTGTGTGTTAGTCTGTGACATTTGGTGGTGAGAACAGTACTAGTGGTGTGAATAAATGGTTTGCAAAACTGACAGATTGACTGAACACATCAATTCCAGAGTAAGGGACTAATTCAGATGCCTCTCCATTTTCCACCTTTCTCTGCGTTGGACTGAAGAAGCCACTGAGTGGCGAAACTTTTTCAGAATAAAAATTCCCAAATGTTACACAAGTGTCTCATCAGTACTTGTGGTCCCTCCAGGTCCTGTGGAAGAGAGAATCTTTATAATAAACAGCTCTAAGTGGCATCAAGTGTGATTTAAGCTAGTTAATAGTAGCATTTGTTAACAAAAAATGAGAAATATATAAGCTTCTTAGAGCTCTGTAGAGTTATAAGCCAAAAAGTGATCATGGGTGAACAATTACTGTAAGTGAATCTGGAAATATAGTATATTCAAGTTTTTAAGAGGGTTTAAAGGTATTTTGATGATTTGTTTTCTGTCGTGGATGTTATGACTAAGCAACAGCTATCATGGAACCCAATGTGAGAAATTTACAACTGAATTTTACTGGGACTGCAGGTGAGTTTGTAAATATCTTAAGAACATGAAAATGTGACTATTACACAGGTTCATCTTAAACGTTTAACAACATCGACTTGACACTGAGTGGAGAGTCCTATTTTTCCACAGTGACCTAATTACATTGCTCCCATTCCCCTAGCTTTGTATGACCCACTATTATTACATTCATGGGTAGAGCTAAACCAGTAGGAGTCATACAGCACCAGGGTCTAATTCTTTAGATTAAGAGCCCCTCAGACCAGCTGTACTAGCCATGAACAATAAAAATAGTCATCCAACGAGACTGTCGCCAATACAAAGAAACGCTGAGGGCACTTAGAGTTGTGGCAGGGTTTCATCCCAGGTATGGTGCTAATGTTAAAATTGTGAAAATGATGCATCTTGCTTATATTAGATCATTGGTTGATTATGCGGAGCCACTACTTGCTCTTGTGTCTGACTGGAAGCTTGGAGGGCTGGAAAAACTGCAGAATGAAACAATGAGGATCATTTTAGGGTGCCCTCGTACTGCCAAAATTTTAAATATGCAGAAAGAACTTGATATTCCAAGCATCAGAGATCGTGTTACTGAAAGAAATATCCTAATGGGGTTAATATGTTCAGGCAAGCCCATTCAAACCCCTGCACAGAAGTCCTCCAAACATTCCTCAGCACTGGTGAACACCCTTCCAGATGGATCGAAAAAACTGGAACCAACCTCCGCATGAATCAGATACATGATCTACGTCAACTAAGGCAACAGCGGCACTTCTCCGCTCCATGGAATATTACCCTATTCCATACTACCATCCCTCCATTTCCCCCAAAACTACTTCTTAAATCACAACCAGAGCTTCGCCTTGAAGCCAAACATGATGCCTTAAGCTGTATTGATAACTTAGTCACACAGCACACACTTTCACAAATTACTTACATTCACTGGTGCAGCTGGTAGTTCTGCTGTCATACAGAGTGATGGCTTTCTTAAAGAAATTGGAACATGCATCAATAATTGGGCCTCTACCCTTCAGACAGAACTGTTTGCCGTGCTTCTTGCACTCAAATGCGTCCATGTATCTAAGGTTGACACTTTAATTGTAAATGATTCTCTGTCATCCACAAATGCTCTCAACTCATTATCAATTGTGGCATGTTTGTGTCAGATGCCAGACACTGGGAGGGTGGGACTGTGAACAGTGGAGCCAGAGTGCACATGCTGTGGATTCCATCTCACATTGGTCTTCAGATGCATGATAGAACTGATAAATTGGCTAAGCTGTATGCTTTCAAAGACAGGATAGATTACAATCTTGGCTTGTCAGTTAGCAGTTTGAGAACAGTAATACATACGAAAAGAACTTCAACTGAATTTTATTGACTTAAGACTCAGGGAGATTGACACCAGCCAGTCCATCTATCATCATTCTATCATGCAGGAGGAGCCACATGTCTATGGTGCATCCAACAAAATAAGCCGACTCTTGGATGTCACTATCGCCTGGCTCCGGCTGGGTCACAAGTATTTTTGGCAGGTTAAATTACCACTACCACCAGATGTAGACCAAACGAAATGCAAACTTTGCCAGATGAACTATTGTCACACCTTGCGTCATTATGTACTGGAGTGCGATAAAATTAATGAATTCAGAGACAACTTACTCAGAAATGTTTAAGATTTGTCAAAGTGGTATATTACAGGCCATTCTGGAAAAATACCCTGACTTTGTTCCCTATAAATACAGCATTACCACATGTACCCACCTTATTGTACTCGCCTAATTGTAGTTGCAGGGGTCGAGACTCGGCTCCTGGCCCCGCCTCTTCGCTGACCGCTACTGCGTCCTCCCTCTCCCTGCTCCATGACCTTTATCATATCTCGCCTTAAGACTATGTATAGTTCCTGCCTCCGCTACATCGCTTGCCAGACTATTCCACTTCCTAGCAACTCTATGACTGAAGAAATACTTCTTAACATCCCTCTGACTCATCCGAGTCTTCAACTTCCAATTGTGACCCCTTGTTTCTGTGTCCCATCTCTGGAACATCCTGTCTCTGTCCACCTTGTCTATTCTACGCAGTATTTTGTATGTCATTATCATGTCTCCCCTGACCCTCCTGTCCTCCAGTGTTGTCAGACCAATTCCCCTTAACCGTTCTTCATAGGACATTTCCCTTAGCTCTGGAACTAGCCCTGTTGCAAACCTTTGCACTTTCTCTAATTTACTGATGTGTTTGACCATGTGTGGGTTCCAAACTGGTGCTGCGTACTCCAGTATGGGCCTGAGGTACAGAGGTACCAGAACGTTATTCTCAGGTTTGCCAAGCACCCATATGCCGCAGCTGTTATCTGGTTAATGTGTGCTTCTGGCGATGTACTCGGTATTATACTCACTCCTAGATCTTTCTCCTTGAGTGAGGTTTGCAGCCTTATGCCTCCTAGCCTATACTCTGTCTACGGTCTTCTTTGTCATTCTCTGATCTTCATGACTGCATTTGGCGGGGTTAAATTCTAAGAGCCAGTTGCTGGACCATGCATTCAACCTGTCCAGGTCTCTTTGTAGACCTGTCTGGTCTGCATCTGATTTAATTCTCCTCATTAACTTCACATCATCTGCAAACAGGGACATTTCTGAGTCTATCCCTTCTGTCATGTCATTCACATATACCAAGAACAGCACTGGTCCCAGGGCTGACCCCTGTGGAATCCCGCTTATCACTGGCGCCCACTGTGATACCTCATCATGTACCATGACTCGTTGTTGCCTCCCTGTCAGGTATTCTCTGATCCACTGCAGTGCCCTTCCTGTTATACGTGCCTGTTCCTCTAGCTTCTGTACTAATCTCTTGTGAGGAACTGTGTTGAAGGCCTTCTTGCAGTCCAAGAAAATGCAATCAACCCACTCCTCCCTCTCATTTCTTACTTCAGTTACCTTGTCATAAAACTCTAGGTGGTTTGTGACACAGGATTTGCCTCCCATGAATCCATGCTGGCTGTCGTTTATAATCTTGTTCTGCTCCAGGTGCTCCACCACTCTCCTCCTGATAATCTTTTCCAAGACTTTGCATACTATACACGTCAGTGACACTGGTCTATAATTTAGTGCTTCATTTCTGTTTCCTTTCTTAAAGATGGGGACTACATTTGCCTTCTTCCATACTTCAGGTAGTTGCCCAGTTTCAAGGGAAGTATTGAAGATTTTGGTTAGTGGCACACGTAGTGTCTCTGCTCCCTCTCTAAGGGCCCATGGAGAGATGTGGGTGTGTGTACTCACCTAGTTGTGGTTGCAGGGGTTGATTCATAGCTCCTGGCTCTGCCTCTTCACTGGCTGCTACTGGGTCACTCTCCCTGCACTATGAGCTTTACCATTCTTCTGCTTAAAGCTATGAATGGATCCTGCCTCCACTACATCGCTTCCCAAACTATTCCACTTCCTGATTACCCTGTGACTGAAGTACTTCCTGGTGTATGTGTATTTCCCTAGTGTGTACTCGCCTAACTGTGGTTGCAGGGGTCGAGACTCAGCTCCTGGCCCCGCTTCTTCATCGAGTGCTGCTAGGTTCTCTCTCTCCCTGCTCCCTGAGCTTTATTATACCTCATCTTAAACCTATGTATGGTTCCTGCCTCCACTATCCCATTTGCTAGGCTATTCCACTTGACTGAAGAAATACTTCCTAACAATCCCTTGACTCATCTGAGTCTTCAGCTTCTAATTGCGACCCCTTGTTTGTGTGTCCCATCTCTGGAACATCCTGTCTCTGTCCACCTTGTCTATTCCATGCAGAATTTTATAAGTCGTTATCATGTCTCCCCTAACCCTCCTGTCCTCCAGTGTCGTCAGGCTGATTTCCCTTAACCTTTCTTTATAGGACATTCCCCTCAGCTCTGGAACTAACCTTGTCACAAACCTTTGCACTCTCTAATTTCTTGACGTGCTTGATCAAGTGCAGGTTCCAAACAGCTGCTGCATACTCCAGTGTGGGCCTGACGTACACAGTGTAGAATGACTTGAACGATACCTTGCTAACGTATCTGAACATCTCAGGTTTGCCAAGCGCACATATGCTGCAGCAGTTGTCTGGTTGATGTGTGCTTCCGGAGACATGCTCGGTGTTATACTCACCTCAAGATCTTTCTCCTTGACGAGGTTTGCAGTCTTTGGCCACCTAGCCTATACTCTGTCTGCAGTCTTCTTTGCACTTCCGATCTTCATGACTGTGCATTTGGCGGGGTTAAATTCGAGAAGCTAGTTGCTGGACCAGGTGTCCAGGTCTCTTTGAAGTCCTGCCTGATCCTCATCTGATTTGATTCTCCTCATTAACTTCACATCTGCAAACAGGTACACTTGAGAGTAACCCTTCCATCATGTCATTACATATACCAAAAATAGCACTGGTCCTAGGACCGACCCCTGTGGGACCCTGCTCGTCACAAGTGCCCGCTGTGATACCTCATCACGTACCATGACTCGTTGTTGCCTCCCTGTCAGGTATTTTCTGATCCATTGCAGTGCCCTTCCTTTTATACACACCTGATCCTCTAGCTTCTGCATTAATCTC